CAGAATGCATTTAGTTCATCCTCAGGAGTCTCCAGAGTCTTAACTGTTCTAGTTTTGCCCAAAAGTCCAAGTCCAAAGTCTCATTTGAGACTCAAGGAAAACTCCTGATTGTGAGCTCATGTAAACATCAAAAGCAGGATACATGTTTTCAACCTATAATAGCAGATGATAAACATTCCCATTCTAAAGGAGGAAAAATTGGGAATACAAAAAAAAGGGGGATGGAACCAAAATAAGACCAAAATTCAGCTGGCAAACATATCATGTAACTCCATTTCTGGCATCCGGGGCAATGGCACTAAGATAAGATATGAGCTCCAAAGGGCTTGGGCAGCTCTGCCCCGATGGCCTTGCTGGTTGCAGCCATATAGTTTCTCTCTTAGGCTGTCTCTGTCCACATCCAGCAATTTTCCTTAAAGGATGTTCCATGCTACATGCATCTCTTAACCCTGGGCGTCTACACTGCAGCTTTGGCTTCCTTCTCACAACTTCATGTATTGCTCTTTCAGAAATAACCCATAGGAATTCTGAGCCTATTACATTCTGTCTGGTACCCTAGTCTTTCTCTTGAAATATTAGTAGAAGCCTCTAGAACTCCCTAACTCTAGCGTCCTGCATTCCTGAAGAACCAGTATGACATGGATGATGCCAAGGTCTGCCACCATCTCAAGCTGTAGTCAGGCCATCGTGACCATGGTTTCAGTGACTGCTGAGTACCTGAAAAGCTGACCAGGGTGTCCTCAAGGCATCTTTCCTATTGTCTCTGTGCAAAATACTTAGCTTCTCTTTAGTGACTGTAATCTCTTCAGCAACCACATCTTTCTTGGCCCAAGTTTTACATGTGCTTTTCTGGCCAAACTGCTACTTTTTCAGATCCTTCTCTTCTGCTTTCTTTTCTGATTCCCACAATAATTCCGGCTAAAAGTTTCCAGCAAAACCCTTGCCACCACCTGAATTGTATGCTAAGTTGAAATTTACATCATTTGATTTATGAGTCCATCACCTTTAAATTAAGCCTCACACAAAGTCTCGGGATATGGGCAAAATGTAGACAAGTTCTTTGCCTGGATGTGACATGAATGGATTCTTGTTCAATTCCCAAAAGAGTCTACAATTTCCTCTAAAGCTTTCTGAGCACTGTCCAATTTCTATTGATATTTTGGTCTTCTGAGCTCAAACCAGATTCACTCATTAAGCTCTATTTACAGCATTGTAAGCCTTTTCTACTTTGCAGCTCAAAATTTTTACTAACGCCTCCTGAAAACCAGTTCCAAAGGCTTCTGAACCACATGGTCAGAGTAGTCACAGCAAAGACCTACTTCTCAGTACTAATTTTGTGTCACTCTGACCAAAACACTGACAAGAACCACTTAGAAGAAGAGTTTATTTGGGGGTGACAGGTTCAGAGTTTCAGTCCATGGTCCCAACTCCATTGCTCTGGGACTGAGGTAATGCATAATATCATGGTGGAAAGGTGTGGTGGAGGATAGATGCTCAATTCATGGAAACTGGAAATTGGAGAACAGAGTGCCAAATCCCAAAGGCTTCCTCCACGTCCCCTCTGACTACAGTTACCCCAGGTCTGTAGTTCTTTCAAATTACTATTCCACTGAATGAATTAATACAATGATTAGGTTATAGCTCTCACAATCTGATAGTGAACTTTACAGGGACACCTATATCCAAATCATAACCAGTGACTCTTAGGTTTTATTGTTTTCCTCTCAATAATGTTGTCTTTTTTGTTTTGTTTTGATTGATTGATTGATTGATGTCAGAAAGCAACTTACTTGGTGACCAGCTTGATATTTTCAGGATTTGTTTTTAAATTTAATTAGAGTTTGTTTAGGAATTCTTTTATTCTCCAGGGTGGTTAGGCCCCTCCCCTAGTCATGGATTTTCTGTGATCTCTATTGAATATGCAGAGGATGCATAAAGGTCTCTACACTCTGGCTGATTGTAATTAGAATCTGGCTCTAATGTTGCTGAATTGGTAGTTCCTTGTAGTTACCTTAAGCTTGTGAAGTGCCTTTAGCCATGAACAACTTTATTTCACCAAATACCCATATATAGTCCTGTTTGTATTTTTGGAGGTTTGTGTATGTGTATTCCCTTTTCTCCCTTACCCAGTCCTGCTATTTCAAACACTTTAACCATTCCAAGCTCTGATTAGTGAGATTTCTGTGCTTTGCTTGGTTTCCTCCTCTTGCCTCTTCCTTTAACAGAAAGTTTTAGTAATCATAAAGCTCATATTTTTGTTTTCCTTCCTTCAGAAATCAGTGCCCATGCTGAGTATTGTCTAGTGTCTGAAAAATATTATATGTTTTGTCCAACTTTCTAGCTGTAAATGAGTGATGGCTAATTCAGTATCAGTTGCTTTATATAAGAACAAAAATTAGGGGTTCATTTTCCCAAAATACAATTATTATAATAACATTTTCTTAACTTTAAGAGATTTTCTTTTGGGTAATATAATTTCTCTGTCAATTTTTATGTGTGGCACATGTGCATTTTTCATTTTAAACAAACTTATTCTTTGGAATAAGTTATTTCCATGTAATTTTTGGAATTGATGACATGGTCCATTGATAAAATTAATGCATATTAAATTTAACTGGTCATAGCCTCTGCAATTTACCCTACTAATTTTCTCTGGCAATGTTTACCAATGACATAATTACGGCTAAAGACAATGTTATCATTCAGAACTCATCTTATTTAATTTTGAAATTGCTTTTTTTCTTACCATCCTTTCTGAATCATGACTCTCCCCTGATAGTCCTCCTGTATAAAATTCTCCTTTTCTAATTTCTTTTCTTCAAATGACAATTTGAGTGTGTTCTCTAGGGCTCTAATATTGGGTCTTTTTCTCTTAACATGCTTTCTCTGAGCAAGTTCATTACTTTCTGGGTTTCCACAAGCACCTATGATGATGACTTCCAAACATGACAAACAAATCATTTCGTTCAGCTCAAGCCTCTCTTTTCTGGGCTTGAGACTTATATTTCTCAGCTTCTTTCAGTGCAATGTCTCAGACATTTTGCATGTCCAAAACTTACATTATCCTCCACAAGAATACCTTACCTTCTGCATTGCTCATTTTAAAAATTTATCAAGCTGTTCATGTGAAAAAGTCAGGAGTAAGCCTAGACTTATATATTTATTTCAAATTGAATGTCTAATAGTAAGTAAGTCCTGTACATTATCTTCCTACATCTTGAGTTCAGGTTTGGTTGATGTTCTTCTTATCTTTTCATGGCAATGGTACTGTAATGCATACATGTCTATGGTGATACCCTTCACATTGCTGCCCTTGTAAATATTTAAGGGAATCTGTTAACACATGATACCTTTTCAAATTGATCAATTTTTCTCTTTATCTCTAGATAAGGGACAAAATCCATATTCCAAAGTTTAACAAAGCTGTCTGTATCCATCTCCCATCTATGTTAGTTGTGAACCTCTTCCTATATTGCAGAGAACCAAGGTAACCATCATAAATGGCAAATTGCTGAAATTTTCTTAACAACCTCTAGTTTTCTCCATCCTACCCATCTCCCATTCCCAATGACTGTGCACAGAGCCATGTCAAGTGAATAAATAAGTTTTAAAAAATGAATTTTCAGAATAGGCAGTGAAAGCTAAAACTTTTATATTTCATTATTTGTGAATATAATCATTCTAAGATTCTTATATTTTGTTTGGATTTTAATAGTGGTTCTAATTTCTTAGTCCCAATTTGGCCAACGAAAATGTTTTGGCAATTCAAACAAGCTGAGGAAGAATATGTCACTTGCCATGAACATTATGCTATAGTATTTAATTGGTTTTAGAATAAAGAACCCAATGGAATGAGACTTCTTTCTCATATATTGCTTCTTTTGCTGTTTATATTATATAAAGGCTCACACATGTCTATGTATATATGTATCATACAGATATAAATTAAATGTTTATACCATATTTGGATAGATATAGAAATTATATATAGTTACAAATTATCACTTACAAATTATTTTAGATATAAATTATCACTTACAATGATATTTCCTCATGACTAGTTTATTTACAGTTCTCAGAATCACTTTGGATACCTTAATTTATATTATTTTAGAATTAGAGAAAAGTAGAACTTGCACTGATTGAACAAGTACTTGGTTAGCAACCAAACTGGTCTTATATAACTTAATTCTAAACAGTTTGGCAGAGAATGTGATTAAAGGTTATAGAATAACATGCGAAATACATTTCCATTCTTTATTTCGTCTTTCTTTTATATGTAGGCACACTTTTCCCTTGCTTATAAATGCTTTTAGAATAAATATCTGGCACTATTCAATATGAAGTTCAAAACCTTCATTTCAGAAGCTGTAACATTCTGGAAGAAAAGTTCCTTTAGTAAAACAGTTATTTTTTAATTAGAAGTTTCCCTCCTACTGATCCACAGATTAAATGTACAGAAAATTCTAAAAGGAGAAAACATACCAAAATGTGTAGGAGACAGATAATACTAAGGAATATTAGTATTCATCATCAGAGGCAAATAAAAGGAAACTAATTACAAATAGACAGTTCAACTGCTTAATCAGTTCTTCCTGGGAGCATATTGGCTATTCTAAGATCAAATGTGAAAAGAAATCTACTCTCATGGGTCTGTTGAGCCATCTGGAGAATCACTGATATGCTCCCACCACACTGGTAAATTATAATTAAAACTGGTTCTATAAATATAATGAGAGACAGAAAATAAGGGGGAGAGAGAAAGAGAAACAGGAAAACACTCACCTCCCTTTAGTTATGTAAGAAGGATCTTTGAGCATTTGGTTCTGGTCTGTAGTTGTGTGAAGGAAAGAAAAAGAAATTAAGAGATTCTGACATGGAGATCATTCCACCACATTAGCTTAACTGTACATTTAATGTGAAATGATGATTGTTGCTAAGCTATGACACTCATTAATAGGGGCTGCAGGAAGGAACTGGTAAAATTGTTAGGGACTTTTAGGACACAGCCAGTGAACTTGGAAGGAAGGCGGGGAAAGAGAACAGAGTGTCATTCTCCTTCCCATTAAACCGTGTTGATTTTTTCAAAAGCACACATGCAATAACAGCACAGCACTTTCTGAAATGAATAAAAAGACACGATAGACTAGCTCAGTCCTTGATGAGCCATGAAATTCTTTATTAAAAATGAATTAAAGTCACGGTGGTAAATCAGATTCTCTATAGCAGTATTTTGTTTCACAGATAGGACTTCACATTCCCAATTACTAGATTCCTGCAGGTGGGATAGTGTTTTCAAAATACTCACTTCAAGAAAAAGAAAATGTGAAATTCAAAAGGGAGGCTATAACCTTGAAAAGAATCACTGTGATAAGCTTATGTATCCAACCAACCACACGTGATCCTCCCCTGGCTTCATCTTTCAAAACAGACTTCCTGTTGAGATGTCTTGTTGGGATAGAACCTCTAGTATAGAGAATAAGTCATGCTATCTTATTAATCATGCATCCAGTAAATTTTCATGATAAACACAGCAGTTGCAAATTCTTTGCTTTTAGAAGAAGATGAGGAAAGAAGAAAAATAAGAAGAAGACTATAAAACTAGTAGAATTTGGTATAATCCTCAAGCTATATAGATATTCATAACTGGTTTTTGGAGAGAACAAAGTCTATTATAATTTAGTACCAGAAATAATATTCATAAATTGACTCTATGTACTAAGCATCTGGGACTAAGTGCTTTGTTTATACTGGTTCCTTCATTTAGGTTGATATTGATGTATATGCTTTACATATGAGAGAACAGATATGGAAAAGAAATGTGGCCAATAAATTTCGTAAGTGGAATTCAAGTTCAGCTGTGCCCACCCTTGTATTCTTGTTTTTACATTGCATTGCCTCTCTTCTCAATCTTGTAGATTCTCTGTAATGAACAATAATAGCATATTAAATAATCCTAAATGGGATTTTAAAGTCATAGATAAAATATTGAGTTCTAATAGCAAAATGAATACTTTATATTATATTAATATAGTATTTTATACTTCCTGAAACATTTTTCCCAAACTAACAATTTCTATAAAAATATAATTTCACAGTTTCTCAAAACATTTTTATAAACCTTAGATCATTTGATCTTTACAATATTTCAGTGTGTTGATGGCAGAACCATTATTTTCTCTGTTGCACAGATGAAGTAACAGGAATTCAGAGACATCAAATAATAAATTTTACCTGTGCTTCCAAGACTTGGAAAGTAAGATCTGGGTGTAGGCCTTAAGATTCCCAGTTCCATATGAATTCTAGGGTTCTGAAGTGTATGAAATAGGATATTGGTATAAATTCACTTAAAAATTTGAGTTTTACTATGAATTCCCTAGACTAGTATCTCTAAGGTATTCAGAGCCTACAAGGCTCATTTCTATGTCTAGGTAATGCTTTCCTTAAAGCTTAGCAAATCCAGTTTTCATTAAAGCCCAGATTTTAGCCTACGTGAGAAGTGTGTTAGTCAGCTTTTTGTCACTGTGACCAAAATACCTGACAAGGACAAACTTAGAGGAGAAAAAAATTGTCTTAGCTCATGATTTCAGAGGATTTGGTCCATGGTCATCCAGCTCCAAGTCAAAAACATCAAAACATCGTGACAGAAGGACTTGGATAGCTACTCAACTCATAGCAGCTGGGCAAGCGAGAGACAGAGATAGAGATAGAGATAGAGATAGATGAATAGAGAGAGAGGGAGAAAGAAAGAGAGGACAGTAAGAGGCCAGGGAGTGATATACTCCTTAAGGCCATACCCTAATAACCCATTTCCTCCTGCCATGCACACCTGCCTACAATTACTACCTCTCAATACTCCATTCAAACTATTATTCCATTACATGAATTAATCTACTAATGAAGTCAGAGCTTTCAAGAGCTAATCATTTTACCTCTGAGCATTGATTCACTGTTTATCTCATGAGCTTTGGGGGACATTACAGGTCCAAATCTTAGGAATAAGTTGTAGTGATAGAAATATTACCAATAATTGTTACTGATTGTGAGAACAAATTGGTATAGTCCTAGAAAGTGTCAGTAGAGAGATATGAATGCTTTATCTCCAACAAACCTATGGTCATTCATGGGCAAAATAACAATTACTGCAATATTTCTGAATGCCTTTTTCTACAGTTTGGTGCATCCTTAAAGGATGTTTCTCCAACGTGAGTGAATGATAGCACAAGAGAGTAGAGTAGACTCTATTTTAGTTATAGGTATGCACAATATCTTTATTTTATTTTTATGTGGTGCTGAGGATCGAACCCAGTGCCCCACACATGCTAGGCAAATGCTCTATATCTGAGCCACAACCCCAGCCCATAGACTCTACTTTAGAAGGTAAAATCAGCTGCTGAGTATATTGCAGGTACTCCATAGTAAAGAGATGTTGACTACAGTATGAATAGATGATACAATGTCTGATTCACTGACATCAATTCCTATACCATTGTTAGGATTTTTCTACTTCCTAATGAAAAATTTACTATATTTTAAGTTTATCACGAGTCAGTACATTTATAAAACTGTGTGCATGCATATGTGCAGAGTATGCCAGTGCATAAAAGAAAGATATAAATTGTTCATATTATTGTGAGAATATGAATTATATGTAAAATTTTGGGAGGCAAAAGTTGAAAATGAACTACCAAAACATATGACAACCTAATAACTTGAGAAAAGATTACCTGAAAATTTTTTTATTAAATAAATTAAAAGGGGAGACTGGATAATAAACAAGCATGAAATTTTATAAAGTGGTATCACAACAGTTTTGTCTTCTTCTAACCCAGCACTGCTAATTAATAAGACCCAGTCTCCCAGTAACATCAACTAACAAATGTGAAGTGGGTTGGTGATGAGATAGAACAGGTCACTCAGACAATTCGGATGTATTTCTCCTTCTGGACTCTTCTTGCTGAGAATGACTTGTCTGTACGTCACAGTACTCAAAATTATAGATGCCTGCTGGAAAATTTTGCCTCATTAAGTTCTGGCCTGTGATAAGCTGCCATAATTTTATAAAAAATAAAGAAGTTAGTTATTTGGCATGCATTTTGAAATACTTAAGTACTTCATGTGCATAAATTCCACTTGCATTTTTATTGAAATTGACACAAAGTGTATGCAGATTTAAAACTAACCCGGAACTGAGTTTTCCAACTTTGAAGAAGTAACTGAACCTGTTTGATTCTCAGTGTCTAGTAAAATGGGATCGGTCCACATCTCAAATAGTTGTCAAGAACATTCAATGAAAGAGTTCTTGGTATGATAGCTGGCAAATAATGCTTGGGCAATAAAATGCTTAATAAAGCGTTTGTTCTTTCCCTCATCTTGGGGACCCACAATTACACTTAAGTAATGATTCACATGTATGATATATCAAGGTCATTGGACTGTCATGTGTAACTAATTAAAACAAACAAAAAAAGGAACATAAAAAAAAAGTAATCTTTCCTAAGCTGATGGTCTCAGTTGTTATGTTTCTGCAGTTTGTTTTCCTTTAAACATTTGAACTGGCCTGGGAATTCCACTAGGACCACAGCTCCAGTATGGCACTCTAGTGGAAAAAGAGCCTACTAGGGAACATATATTCATTGGAGCTAGACATGGGATTACACACAGTCACTGTGAAGTTCACCATCAGACATTTCTTTCATATGTTCCTAAATGTTGCCTTTATTATTCTTACTCTTCTTACATATTCCATCTGACAATAAACATACTCTCAATCCAACACTTTTATCTGACATTAGATCTTGTTTGTGTGTGTGTGTGTATGATAAATAGGTTATTCTGAATATTTTAGTCTTAATCATTTGTTTCTGCACAGACACTTGGGATATGATGAGTGCTTGTGAAAAACCAAATTAGCCCTTTCATCTGTGGGAAAGAACAATTTACTTCTTTCTAAACCAAATCATTTATTAGAAGGAAATATATGTCAGGGTCACCTTTTTGAAATTTTGTTCAAAATATTTGTTATGACTCAAATATTGTCAAGTGGAATGTGTTCCTTGTTTCTTCCTTGGAACCCATGTCTACCATCCAATTTTCAGATAACAAATTGTGGAAACCACATCTATCATTTAGTTATCAAATAACAAATTATGGTGTAATTGTTTCTGTTGGATTTCTCTTTAACCCCAGAATTCAGCTTTTGTGCTTGATCATCCAACTTTTTATTCCTTCTGTCACTTGAAGTGGCTTGATCAATGGATGTCCAACTTAAAGCATGAAAACAAATACATGGATTCTAGTTCATCCTTTGATTTGGGGGGATATAAAGGAGTTCGAGTTGCTCTAAGTCTCATTTTCCCCTCTGGTATAATATGGGTAGTTATTCTCATTTATAACTTCTTTATTTAAACTTCTTGCCTGAAAACTTCCATAAAATCCTGAACGCAAGGGTCATTCTCACTGGGACTAAACGATTGTAGAGACTTTCGTAGGCGGGGATTTATGGTAATGGGCCTTTAGATACTGCCTGTGATGCTGAACACTTGACAGCCTTGGGGACATAATGGATTAGGTGGCTTCTCCAATCTGCCCCCATCATTCAAGAAGAGCCCCACAGCCAACCTGACCATTATTATAGCAGTAAGGATCTGTGGCTTCGACTGTTGGCTCTGTATCACTTCAAAAGATATACTAGAGATTGAGTTGTTTAGACTCAATTGAGATTTGATTTTCTCATCTACGGAAGAATAAATAAAATTCTCATTTCCAGAATTTTTATTATAAAAAATAACTTCCTCAAGATTATTCTGGGCCCTAAACTAATTAAGAAGCAACTTCTTACAAGCAATGTGTTAAAACAAAAACAAACAAACAAACAAAAAAACGAACAACAACAACAAAAAAACACTGAACGTATAAGAACCACAATTTTAATCTCTGGATCTCAAAATGACCTCTTTCTCAGGACTTTGATTTGAATCTTTCTCTTTTGTGAGGAAAAACAAAA